TAAAAAACAGACAAGGCCTGACAAGTAAAAGCAACAAAATGTCCCATGGACATACTGCAGTATTCAGTGCAACTGTATTGATATTGATTGCACTTATTTCATTAGCACAGCAATCACTGTGTTATGTGATTGTCAATACGCACAACTACTCATTCTTCAGTATAAGAGAACCTAACACAAGTACTGAAGTTTTTCCATAACGATTTTTAAGGGGCGTACAAAAAAGAGGAGGTTCCTCTCCGGTGACTTTGCAGAGGAGTTTCTAGCCCACTTAGTGCCCCTAATCAGGGTTAGATGATAGTATCTGAAATGCAGACAGCTGGAGCTCCAGTCACTACTCTTCCCAGTTGCAAAACCATGTTGGTGAGCTGATAACAGGCTAACATTTAAAAGCCTGTCACAGAAGCAAACTCATCTCTTTGAGAGCTTTCTTGGCGACATGGGGGTGAACCCTTGCTCAGTGTGCAGGGCCTGACTGTGAGAGCAGAACACAACAGGAATCCCATTGCCTACAGAGGTATCGGAAAAGTGTTCCCAGCTGAAAGCCTTTATCCAACTCCAATTGTTCATTGAACAACATTAAGGGCAGCACTATTCCATTTGGTACAGTGTCAAACAATGCAATAACTGTTTAGAATCACATTTTGTTTCCCAAGTAGCTGAATTTACTGTGAGAGTAGAGGAGAATTTGCATCCAGAAAATCTGCATTCCTTAAAGCAGATGTTTTTAATTTTAGTAACATCAGCCTGTAGAAATGAATATCTAAAAACTTCTGATTGATTTGTACATGTTGCTATTTAGGAGTAACGCTCCATCTTAGTGGGTTTGCAGAAAAATTCAGGAGCCACCAGGAGAAAGAAGCTGCTACTAACTGTGCTACCAAGAATAATGCTAGGCTTTTTACTTTGAAAGCCACTTAAAATTGCCCTCCTGTGCATAAGACTGTCATTTTCTGCACTGTACATATGACATATTGTAGATCCATAGACCCATACTAGGAAAACTGCACATGTAAAATTGTCTGCAGTGTGCCTTTACTTTTCCACACATGCATCCCAGATGTGAGCATACACATATCATACTAAATGGGCATGTATTGTTTTTACAAGTTAGGACATATCTTTATGAATAGTACATGAGTGGAGTCAAGGGAAGCCCTTCATGGGTTCAAGGTATGCAGGGCAGAGCTTCTGGTCTCCAGGTAAGCAAAGTTGTATGTATATACAGTACTCAGTTTTCCCACTACTCTGAACTGCAGACTGCAGTCAAGTGCAGAGGTCCTTAAAGTGGCTGTAACACAGCGCTTGCAGTGCTTTAGTGCAATAGCAGAGAGCTCAGTCCAATCTACTTCGCTCAGTAAGAAACAGAATGAAATCAGCCTGTACTGTGCTCTGCCTTCCTATGCAAGACTGGCAATGGTATATGAGCTAGCTCATATGTTTCCGAACCATTGTTTCCAATAGGAGTAGGTACATGCAAAACTTGAATTCATACACATAGGTGTCACTCTGATGACCAGTTGGCTTAGGTAGCACAACTTGTACTGATGAGGTCTGTGTCTGTGAGGTTTTGTGATCTTTCACTTTCCTATGGATATATTTTGTAGATGATGGTCCACACATGATTAGGATTGACGTATCTGAACTGATCATTTTACAGCCTTTCCTTAATAAAATAAGAGACCTGAATTTTCTTGCCTATAGCATGACAAATTTATGAGAGAAAAAATTTTAACTGAAAGGTCATATATTTGAAAGAATGCATTTAACCGCATATGCTACCTGTGCTTTATACTTTCATAGCTGCTAGACTTTCCAGGGACCAGTCTCTTGAAGACCAAATCATGCTGCACACATGTGTGTACGCTGAGGTAGGAAAAGCACTGCACTCTGAGAATATATGTGAAGCAACGGTTTCAAGCTCTGCACATCCAAATTGCTGCAGCCCAGCAACAAACCGCTGGATTACCAGTTATTTCCTGCACTGCAGCTGAACTAAACTTGGATTTCAGTGCTCAAGGTAAGCAGTATCAGGACTTGATAAGAAGAAAGAACCAAGACAGGTCATGGAGACAGATAACAAGACATGCCTACACCTTAGCTGCAAACGTGCTTGCATGGTGTAAAACAGCTTGAGGATGTATGAATGCAGTTTTGCAGTGGAACATGACTGAAAAAATATTTTTTCCATGAGGCATATTTCTTAAAATATCAAGATGCAGAGATCTGTGTCTTTTGGTTTCTAAAATTAACCCTAGCTCAAATCCTCAAAGGTATTTTTATGCTGAACCTGCACTTACTTCAAGGAGTGTTAGGCCTTTTGCCACTTTGAAATCTTCCCCTTGAAGTAGACATCTTTATTTTAGCATGTGAATCACTCTGCATAACTGCCCCAGTTAAACTAAAGCTGCAATTTAGCTCCACAGATAGATAAACTATCTCAAACATTAATAGTTTTGGACTAACCAGGAAGAAAATAGCCTAATGTGGTCACTATGAGACGGATGGTGGAGCATTACTTCTGACCTCAAGTTTTGTGTACCAGTAGCCTATGACAGAGCAGTGTCAGTGGCAACATATATAATGGAAGCATATCCCTGAAATAATCAGATGTGAAGTCCTGTGCAAGCACTGCTCCCATGAAAGTCTCAGGGAGTTTTGGCATTGAATGGAGGGGGACAGTTCAGGCTCCCCTACCTAGGGGTGCGGCTGGAAGGGGGAATGAGGGGTGTTCCTTTCTATGTAGGTATCTTTAGATGTTTCTGCAAAATATTTGAGTCGTAAAACCTTTGAATCCTTGTGTTTTGCTGCTAGAGAGAATCCATAAAAAGAGATTTATTGTCATATTTCCCTTTTGTGTTGTACTGTTCCCCTCCATCATAAAATATTTTCGTCGGTTTATAGCAAAGCAAATATAGCAGCTTAGTTCATAAACGCCAAAGTTTCCCTCTGCTACACCCCGGCGTTCAAACATAATTGAATTAGCTCCTATTTCTGTTGATTCTAGGGAGCGGATTGCTGCCTCGAGCCGCAGTAGCAAGGCTTACCGAGCCCTGATGTGTGCAGAGGGGTCGTTACGCAGGGACCGAGGTGGACCCGCATCAGCCCGCATGCCGGCGGGAACCCGTCCAAGCGGTTTCAACTTTTATTCTTCCTGCCGAAGATTTAAAGCAGCTTTGTACAGCCGTCAAACAGGAATAAGCAGCTGTGGAAAATATAACAAATCATAAGAGCGGTTTAACAGAGGGAAGGGGGAACCAAGCCCGCAATGCAAACGGACAGCTCAGGGAGCGCTGCGTGGACAGGCACCCGCGTCCCACACTACGGCTTAGGAGGAAAAGGGAGGCTGGGGGGGGTTAAGGAGAGTCCGAGACAAGGGGGGACTAGTGATGGAAAGCTCGTGGCTTCTGAGCAGTGTTGCTAAAAACCCTGGTAGCATTCGGACCGGGAGATTCCGCTCCTGATTTTGATTTTGATGGGTTGTTTTTCCCTAAAACCACTTGGGAAGTGGCCCCTCTGGCGGTCCCGCTTTTCCCCTCTCCCAGCTCCAGGAAAAGTGTCCAGGGGCTCGGCGGGGTGGGGGGCAGGGGGAACCCGCCCCAGTGGGCAGGTAGCCACAAGCCAGGCTGTAATTACAAAGCAAACAAGGGTGAAATATTGGATCGGCCTCGCCCGTGACAAGATCTGCGCTTTTTGCCGCCAATTTGTTTGTAGAGCTCTATTTAAAGGCGCTTGATTGAGGAAACGTTGAAAATAGCTGTTAGGGTTTCCCTAATGAGACCTCTAGAGGAAAGCAGTGGCATTCAGGGCGCTCCAGGAGGAGGAGGGGAAGCTCTTAACCCTTTCCAGCCGCCCCCAGCCCTCCGGGGCTCCTCCCGGGCGTGGCAGGGCACGGCTGGGGAGGCTGGGGTCGGTCTCCCCTAGAGGGTTCGGGGGGCAGCGGGGACCAGCCCGCCTCCCAGTCTCGGCCTTCAGCACTTCGACCCCTGCCAGCGCCGGAGGCGACAGCTGCGGGCCCCGCCGGGGGCAGGGCCGGGGCAGGGCTGAGCATCCCCAGCCTCTCCCCACGGCTGCGGCCCGTGGGCCCTGGCAGGACCTCGGTGCCGGAGCTCTGCCTCCCAGCTGCCCAGGAGTTACTGGGCAGAATGGGCGCTAATATTTCAGCCCAGCATCTAAAGGGCTGTCGGGAAATACATATATATACATCTATATATATATGTATAACACACACACACATATGTATACGTGTATATATATTATATATATATTATATATGTGTGTATATATATACACACACGCATGCATACACACACATACATATACATATTGGGAGGCTTAGAAATGCTGAAAAGACAGGGAATGTAGTGAACAAGTAACAAGATGTGTCACATCAACATGACCCGCGCTGGGGCCTTGGGACACTCTTCATGTATTCATGTATTGCTCTGTTTTCTCTCGCTGTGTAAGCCTGCCCCAGCACTCCTCACAACCTCACACACGCTTAGATGCAAAATTACTGCCTGTCTGAACCCCGCGTTAAACACAAACGAGATCTTTGGTAAAACGCACGTTGATAATATTCTGAAAGGTGCTAATGCCTGTAGGGGAGCATAGACGGCAGTCCTCTTTCAGGTTCCTTCCTCGAAGCGTCAACACTTGAACGCTATTGAAGTCTCCCCTCTCTCGGTTTTATGAATCAACTTCAGTTCCGAAAAACGGGGTTCACCTTCGCAGCTAACTGCCTGCAGCCTGCGGGGCCCTCGGACCGTCCCCGGGACATGTCTGCTCCGTCCTCGCTCGGCAACCCCACCAGCTGCGGCACCGCACATCCCAGTCCCTGCGACTGCTGAGTGGCTGCTGTGTACAGACAGACAGACACACATATATATATACATATATATACACACGCACCTGGAAGGAGATCAAAATAATCTTTTGGGGAATACCTAATAAAAAAAAAAGGATTGTCTTTTCCTACAGGGAAGAAAGAATCTTAAAAAAAAGGAAAAAACGAGAAGCAGAAAAACAAAGCGTTGACTTCGTAAAATATGTTCTGCTCGGTGATGTAAAGTATTTATTTTTGTTGTCGCATTTACACCCAATGTTTTGGTCACGGCTGGGTTTCCCTGCAGGTCTGAGGAGGTACGTGACATTCAGTTCTCAATTTTCCGGCTTCTTCAGTTACTTTCCTGAAAAGAAGAGTAAGGACTTTTATTTCTTTAGTTCTCTTTTTTCTTTCTTTTCGTTTTGCCGGCTAAAGTGAAGCAAATAAACTCTTTGCATATCCACCGGCCGATTGTATCATCTGTAAGAGCAAATTACAGTACGGCCGCGCATTTCTAGTAAAACCTCCTGACTTCTGTTTATGTTATGCCATTTCTGTTTGTAATTATTTTTATTTTAATTTTATGTCATTTTTAACAGAAGCCAGACCGTCGTGTCCCGTCCCGTCCCCCCCCCCCCCCCCGCTTTTTGTACACAATGCTCCCTTTCTCGATAAGATGTTCTTTCCTATCTTTTCGGTTTTTCTTTTAAAAATGTTTATAGTTCCCCACGAGCAAGTCTCCAATATTTCTCTCTTGTATTTTAAGGACTTGTCCCTGTCTTGCTTTATTTGTTTGTGTGAAATTTAGTTTGAAAGGAGATCAGAGAGAGCAGGAGGGGGTTGTAATAAGAGAATGACCAAGTGACCTAAAGGCTGATTATATGTCATTAACTGGAGACTTGGCGTATCCAAATTACCAAAAAAACTTCACTCAGCCAGCTCAATTACACCGAAATACGCATACAGGAATTGCGGGACGGGCTGATGCTTCTAACAAGTGTGCAGCAGCCGACGTTTGCCGGAGTCAGCTGCGGAGTTCGCAGGCGAGCCCGTGGGCTTCAGCCTGCCACGGGCCAGCGGGAGCGGGCGCGGTGCAGCAGATCCACGGCGAGGGGGCACCGGCGGGACGACACCGGCAGTCGGGGGGTGCGGGTGCCTGGGCCAAATTGCAGTTAATTGTCACTGCTCCGGAGGGGTCTTTTTTTCATTCCCTTTTTTTTTTTTTTTCTTAAGCCAAGCGAGGTTCTCTTTGATCTATGAAACTGCTTAAACCCCAGCCTTGTTAAACACAGGTTTTACATGGAAAATGACAACAGAAATGTTGATTTTTGTTCGCCTACACCCAAAAGGATGCCAGCCTAACCTCTGCTTCCTCCAGCGCCTGAAATTCAGATGCTGGAAGATAAAATTTTATTAATGAAGGCAATTACATCCGCGAGCTATTTCATCAGCGCCGACCTCAAGAGGGACTGAAGATCCTCTTTTCCATGAATACAAACAATATTACGTGAAAAAAGCATGTGCTTCTCTGTTTACAAATGCGTCCGTGTTTATACATGTGTATGTATGTGGTATAGGTATGACAAACAGTAAATAGAGACAACTGTGTGTTCACTGAAATTTTTTATAAGGTATTTATTATTGTTCCTCTGACAGAGAAGGGGTCTTGCTTGGAGTTCGTTGAGTTTTTCTTCTATTTGTGTGATTCCTGTCTAGGGTCTAAATGTAAATGTAACTCTGGATCCTCGGTCACAAATATAAGCAATCCTCGAATAATTGCTTACACATGCAGTGGTAAAACGCGTAGGGTCCCGAGCTTACCGCCAATCACTGAGACTCACAAAATGGTCAGTGTCTCGGGTTTTCCTCATCCCTGATCTTTTTTCTTCCCTTTCTTTCTTTTTTTTTCTTTTTTTTTTTTTTTTAATATACATGTACACAAACACAACGGCTGCGAGATTATCATGCCTGAAATATGTGGGGTGTTCATTACCGATAATAGTAAAGTAAATCAAGGTTCCTCCACCTCCAATGGCAGCAATTAATTCGGGCCTGCTGGGCCCGATTCTGCCCTCTGCCCTGGACGTTGAAATCCAGACTCTGTGAGCGCAGAGGAGGGTGCAAGGAGGCCCATTAGGCACAAGTCCTTTTCATTAACCTGCACTGACAGGTTGACCTTCAAATGATATTTCTCCAGTGCCTCTTTACAAAACCCGTTTTCTTGCTGGTTTATGTTCTTCCGCGAACCTCTAAGCGATGGCCCAGGGACAGGATGTGTTGCATCCCTGGGACACAGGTTGTTTCGATGCCCCAAAATCCACCTGAGAACGGTACCTCTTCCAGATACATTTGGTCCCGGGTCAATGACATCATGCACTCTATAAATTCAAACGCGTCTTGTCTTTTCCAGCCGTGCACCGGGCGGCTGGCCGATGTGGTAGGCAGCCGGGAGGAAGGAGAGGCACCCTGCAGTCCGGAGCTACAGGGAGAAAACCGTCGGGGTGACCGTCCGGCCAGGGCTGTGCCTCAGGTACAAGGCCCGGGGTGCCCCCAGAGTGCTTTTGTGGGTCTGGTTGTTTCTTTAGTGAAAGCTCTGGAGTGCAGGAAGGACCCGGCGCCGCTGCCCGCAGTGGGAAGCGTGGGGCTGGGCCTGGTATCAGGCTCCCCGGCGCTGGCGCGGCTCCCGCCGGTCCTTCCGCTGCCCTGTCCCGGGCGGCTTCCAGTCCCCCAGTCCTGCCCCGTGTCGGTATCGGACGCCCCTCGAAAAGAAGGTGCAGAAAAGGGGCAAATGAATGTGAATCTCGCTGCTCAGGAACAGGCCTGGTGCCCCTGGCCTGCTGTTCAAAGGCCCAGTCTGGTAAGACTGAAGCTCTCCAGCAGTCAAGCCTGGAGTCCCCCTCAGACGCGGGCTTCCGACCACCCAGCGTCGGCACCAGATCCCCGTTCCTATACGATATCGACCGATTCGGAGAAATTAGCTTAATTTGCAATTTAGCTTAATTCACACAGGCTTGGGAAGGGGGTGGGAGCACAGCTCTATTTTGTTATCCCAAATCCCACCATGCCCTTGGCCCGAAGGAGAGAAGTGACCTGGTGATAAGTGGCCCGGCGGCGGCTCAGCGCCGGGACAGGGCAGCGGGTGGCCCCGGCGGCGCGGCCGGGGTGGTTCCGCTGAGCGGGCTCCCTCCCCGCCGCCCCCCGCCCAGCGGGTGCCGCGGGGCACCCACGGGAGGCACGGACAACCCCATCGTCACACTCAGCTCCGCGGAGGACTGCCGTGCTGGAGAGCCAAAGCAGCGGGGCAGAAGTAGCCATACAGCCCCCCACATACACATACCCCAAGAAAAAATAAAATTAAAGAAAAAATGGGGGGGGGGGGGGGTAAGGAAAGGGAAAACCAGCCTCGGCACAGTCGCCACCAAAATTCCTTCATTTCCTCCTGGGAAAGTCCTGTCAGTCAGCAGAGCCCAGATAAATCGCCGCCTAACATGCAACCATTTTGGTACGGAAAGAAGTGACATAAGGCTGGAGCTGCCTTTTTTTGTTGTGTTTTTCTTTTTTTTTCTTTCTTTTCCCCGCAAATTTAAAAAAAAATAGCTCACAAAAAAAAATCAAATTAATAAATAGTTGGTAGGCAAAACCCTGATGAGTTTTAGCGGACTGTAACCCTATGGGTTTTTTTAAAGGTACTTTGGTCTGCAGCGGTTTCCAACGCGTGGATCAAACAGAAAAGGCTATAAACCCTGATCTGGCAGTCTGATTAGTTAAAAGCTAAGGGAGGACACAAGTGCTGTATTTGCTCTAAAACTTTCTTTACAAAACGCAGAAACAAATGTTAGGGAATAGGAGGAAAAAAGTATATATAATATCCTGCTGGGTGTTTTATCTAAAGACCCTCTTTCCATAAGCTAATGAAGCAATAACGATACTAGCTTTGGAGACTGGTGTTCTGATCGATATCTCCTGTATCTTTTATTACTTTTTCTCTGCCTCATGTTTTCCGTTTCCTTCGTCATTGGAGATGTTATCGGGGTGGCCGTAGAGGTTTGCCACAAAGACTGTCACGGCTGCAGCCCAGCCTACAGTATATCGGAAAGCTCCTACACAAGTAAGAAGAGTGCAGAGAAAAACAACCCCGTTTGCAAGCCAGTATACCTTTCCGGCCTTGGCAATGCCCTCTTCTTCCTCGCATCCAGGAAAACAAGGCAGCAAAATAAAAGTGGAGACCCCCTGCATGAAGCGGGCGGGTTCCCAGGCTAAGCCCCGCGTCCGCCGCAGCCCGAGAGGCTGGGGGTGCCCGAGACCTCTCCGAAATACCCGAATCCGCGCGGGAGACACTCTAGCTCCTTAGGATAATACAATTTATAAACGTGGGTGTGTGCATGTATAGACACAGATATCCATCAGTTATTTCAGTTACAAGCATGTGTGCATACGCATAAGATGTATGTGTGTATACATCAGTTCTACACCTGGACTACTTTTTCGCTTTCGTACGCAGTTTACACCCAGGCGCACACGCATATGTGTATATACATCTGCATTCCTGCTCGCTGTGCACATCTCCGTCGCTGGGTCCAGCTCTGAGCTCCCCGTCCTGCAGAAATGTGGGGCCAGCGCCTGGCTTCGCCCTCGGTGTTTCCCTGCAGAGACCATCTCCCCGGTACCGCAGTTAACTGCTCCGAGAAGGGCGGTGTCCTCTGCTGCGGCTGCCGCTTGCCCGCAGAGCGTTCCCCGCCAGAGCCCGCAGACCTTGCCGCAGAACCCCCGGGCCCTAGCAGGCCCCCGCGGCCCGCTGTTGGTACCGGCAGCAGCCATCGGCAGTCCTCCGCCCCACCGGGACCGCTCGGGCTCATCTCGTCTTTTCTGCCCAGGCATAGAGTCGATTCCCCACTGAGAAGCTTTTCTGCACGCTTCTCGCTCCCTAAACTTCCAGTGCTTCCCCCCAAGGCAACCCACAGCCCCTTCAGTGGAGCCGGAGAAAGCGCTGAGCTGCTGCAGAGATCAGACTTGAGGATCTGCCTGCCTTTTTTCTCAGACTCCTCCGTCTCTATCTTTATTTCTTTTAATTTATGACCTCTCAGCTCCTGTTGACACAGTTTTCCACACTGCCTATATTGTAGGATTGCATTGTAATATACGCCAAATCAGCCTAGCCGTCAGCCAGCACACATAAGGGTGGGTATCTGATATTTCGCAGCTATTTAGGAGCGCTCGGCTCCATTTGAAGATGACAACAATTAGCCTCGCCTCCAAGTTATCCATGAATTACAGCTTGAGATCCATTTTCCTTTTGTAACCTCGTCAAGTTTACCAAAGCAAAACACCTCAACAGCTACGGGAGATTTCCTCTTGGCCTGGCCGTTAAACAAATATTTAACTATTCCTTTTCTCTATAACTAAACCTGCAGATCCTGGGTTTTTTGGTTTTTTTTTTTTTTTTTTTTTTAATTGCAGAGGCAGGAATGCGGCGAAATGTTTGTACCTTTGTTAGTAAAAGCTAGAAAATTAGCCCTGAACATGCTGTAAAAAAATATTCGGTTACTTACCCATCAGACCAGTTAAAGGAGCTTGAAACCTGTTGCCGGAGCCGTTCGCTGGGTGAGTGCAGGTCGGGGTGCGTAGCAGCAGGCAGCGGGCTGGAAAATAATCAGTCAGGGTCGGGTTTATTGTTAATGTCTCCAAGCAATTCTTTCTGGAGGAAGCTACTATTCCTGGCCAAACCCGGAGTTCTCAGCTCCCTCGGTCGCGGGGAGGGTGACAGACAAGGCAGAGAGGCTCAGTCTCCTTCCCTGCGGGAGCTAACCATCTTTGTGGATATTAACCGGCCGTAAAGGTACAAGCCGGATCGCAGCTGGGGCATTGCCTGTCGCAGCCGGGCTATCCAGGCAGTGCCCGCCGAAGCCGGTTTTATTTGCTCCTCGACCGCACCGGCACTAAGCACTTTGTAAAGCAACCTCGGAGCCTATCGAGCTCTCACACATATTTTCTTGCCAAGAAATTCCTTGGATCCATACTGTACCTGGTTTGAGATTGTCCGATATTTAGGTTTTTATGCGTTTGTTGGGTTTTTGTTGTTATTGGTTTTGGGTTTTGGTTTTTGGATTTTTTTTTTTGTTTTTTTTTTTTTAATGCAGATTTTACAGTAAAGCATCTGCTAAACACTTGCATTAACCTCTGCCTCCATGATAATTTTTCCCCCCTTGTTTTAATTACATTATGGATGCGGAGGGGCAGCCAATCCTAAAAGAGGAGCTCGGCAATTAGCAGAGCGAACATCAAAAAGTTTTATTGCGGAGGGCGGCGGACCCCGCCCCAGCCGCCAGCCATTGGCGGCCGCCGCTTCTGACGACATATATTAACCCGAGCGGCCCTAAACATGTAGCTGTTCATGGAGATCGTCCCGGGGAACCCTGCCTGTGCCCCGCGCCGCGCCGAGCCCCGTCGCCACCTCCTCCCAGCGCCGCCACCAGCCCCGCGCCCGGCCGAGCGGCGCGGATGCCCCAGAGTAGCGCCGGGGCGCTGATCCCCGTGGAGCAGCGGGCAGGGATGCCCGCGCCCTCCCGCCACTGACGGCCCCTTCGCCGCGCAGGGCAGAGGGGAGCGCCGCCCGCCCGCCCTGAGCCGGGGGCGCATGGAGGGGGGGCGCGTGTAAGTACCACCCGCCAGGGCAGCGGCGGACTTGGCTTGAGCGGAGGGCAGCAAGAGGCCAGGAAGATCCCGGGCTGGGAAACCAAGCCATTTTTTTTTTTGTCGACTTCTCTCCATAGCGGTTCTGTTGGTGGTTTGTTTTTTTTTTTCCTGTGCGCGCTTCCTTGAAGACCCGGCCCCGGGCGAGGAGGAGGTGGAGGCACAACGCATGAGCGGCAGCGGCTGCGGCCGGGGAGGGGGGATCGCTCGGGTACCCGCGGGGACTCTGCAGCAGCGCCCTATGGAGAGGCAGCGGGCAGCGGGGCAGTGCTGAGGGGTGAGCGGCGGGGAGCATCTCCCGCCGGTGCGGCGGGGGTGGGGGGAGGGCGGGGAAGGGAAACCTTTGTTTTGGGGCCCGGGGGGGCGGGGTGGGGTGCGCTAGGAAGCGGGCATGAGTCTAGTGGGAGGTTTCCCCCACCACCCGGTGGTGCACCATGAGGGTTACCCTTTCGCCGCCGCCGCTGCCGCCGCCGCTGCCGCCACCCGCTGCGGCCACGAGGAGAACCCCTACTTCCACGGCTGGCTTATCAGCAGCCACCCGGAGATGTCCCCCCCCGACTACAGCATGGCTCTGTCCTACAGCCCCGAGTACGCCAACGGGGCGCCGGGCATGGACCACTCCCATTACGGAGGGGTGCCGCCCGGGAGCGGCCCGCCCGGGCTTGGGGGGCCCCGGCCGGTGAAGCGCAGGGGCACGGCGAATCGCAAGGAACGGCGCAGGACTCAGAGCATCAACAGCGCCTTCGCGGAGCTGAGGGAGTGCATCCCCAACGTGCCCGCTGACACCAAGCTCTCCAAGATCAAAACCCTCCGCCTGGCCACCAGCTACATCGCCTACCTCATGGACCTACTGGCGAAGGACGACCAGAACGGGGAGGCGGAGGCCTTCAAGGCAGAGATCAAGAAGACAGACGTGAAGGAGGAAAAGAGAAAGAAAGAGCTGGTCAGTGCTGCTGAACGGGCCGGGGGGGGGCAGAGAGGGTGCTGCTCGGCCGCCCGCCGGTGTGCCATCCCCGCGTTCCTGTCGTTCGGCTGCGTCGGGTTGTCGGGTGATGTCCATGGCGGAAACGTCCGTCCCTCCTGTCCCGAGCCATACCTGCCCGCCCAGAGAGGGACAGGATAGAGCCGTGGGCGCCCGTAGTCTCTCACGGAGCGCCAGGGTCCGGCACGGTGGCTGCAAGCAGCTGAGAGGGAACCGCAGTCACAGTAGGCCCCCCGAGTAGGTCCGTTCCCGGGCTAGGGCTTGTCCCAGCTCCCAAACAGTGACCCCGCCGGAGGCAAGCCTCCACTCTTAGATGAAAGGCTGGAGGCGCGATTACCTGCCGAGCCGAGCAACCTCCCCGCCCTGAACAGAGTGGGCAGCGCGGAGATCTCCTGATCATGAGCTCCGCGCTTCGAGTTTCCTGATTTTCAGCAGGGCAGTCGGCTTTGGCGAGGCAGCGCAAGCCCGATTTCGAGTAGGCCCTACGGCACACTCGGGCGATATTCCCGCAGGTTTCGGTGGGCGCAGGCTCGGTGTTTTGTCCTGATACATTTCTGTGCCCGTCTCCTTCCCGGACCACTGGAGGGGACGGCTTGGCACGGACCTTACCGTAACCCACACCTTCCCTCAGGCGCCGGCACCGCGCAGATCTCCAGCCCGCTCCCGTGTCGCCAGGCCCCGGGAGAGCACCGCGGCAAGGCAGCTGTGGCGGAACAGAGCGGGGCCCGCCTCCGCCGCAGACCGCAGGCGGCCGCGCAGGACGCGGGACCGCTCCCACGGGCGGTGGCTTCTCCCGCGGCCGGGCCCAGCGAAGGGCGCCCCCCGCTTTGTCCCCCGCAGCTCGTGGGTCTCGGAGGGGGAGACCGTGTCTCCTCGCAGTTTTCCCTCCTGGGGCAGGGCAAAGACAACCGAGAAAGGGGAGGAATAACTCTAACCTTTTTTTTTCTCCTCTCCCCTCTCTTTCTCTCCTCTCGCATCCTGTCTCCCCAGAACGAAATCTTGAAAAGCACAGTTAGCAGCAACGATAAGAAAACCAAAGGGAGGACTGGCTGGCCGCAGCATGTCTGGGCTTTGGAGCTCAAGCAGTGAGCACGGCAGGACTGGAGGAGCCGTCCTCTTAGTCTCGGTAGCGAGCACTCCTCTGAGGACTCTTTGTATTTGGAATCGTCCAGTTTATTTATGTGCAATTTCTCCCCCACCCCCCCCACCCCAAATGTGGATATTTGAAGGAGAGGGAAAAAGCATTCCATATATGAAGAGGAAACTCCAGCTTGGTAAGGGGTAATGTCTCTAATAGTTTCGTGAATGTTATTTGCTCTGTATAAAACACACGGGGAAAACAGAAACATAGAAAAGGAGAAAAAAAAATGATCCCTCCCTGGCATTAGTGTGTATGTGAAGTGTATCTTTAATACTTGGCCTTTTGGATATAAATATTCATGGGATTATAAAGTTCTATTTCAACAGAAGCAGTTGCACCAATGTTTCGGTTGACTCGGTATTTAGTGTTGTAATTTTGTTGTGGTCGTTCAGTATTTGAAGATGTTTTCAACAGTTATCGGTTATGTGCACTTCTGTCCGTAAGGGATAAAGTGGAATCTAATTAATATTGAAGATGTAAACGTTGTAAGTACTCAATAAACCACTGTGTGTGTTTTTTACAAAACCAAAAAAAAAAAAAAGGAAAAAGAAAAAAAGAAAATCCAAATCTTTTTATGTTTTATACCTCAAAATGTTTTGAATAACAGCGTTGTTTATGGCTTTTTTTTTTCATAATATTTAAAATATTCGGAAGTAAACTAAATTATAAAGATGGCTCCTAAGTTTATTTTTAAACAAGTGACTGAGTGAAAGGAGGGGTAGAGGGAGGGATCTCGCTAGCCCCGTGAGTGTTGAACAGAAACCGGCAGTTCAGCTGAATAGGAATTCCTTGTGGTGGTGTTCTCCATGCAGGAGACCTACGGCTAACGGGAAGCGTACAAGGGTGCAAACCCTGGCAGATCAGGAATGGCAGCGATGCGCGGGTTTTCCTCGGAGAGAGCCGAGCCCGGAGCGGGGTAGGGCGGCGGGGCAGGTTCCCGGAAGGGTGCCGGGGAGGACGAGAGAGGCCGGAGGGCTTTGCACGGAGTGATTATGTAGCAGGTAATTTTACGTCAAGGAAGAAAGAGCGAACAAGGCAAGGGATTTGCGGGAGGGGGGCCGGGAAGGGATACGTAAGATTTACAATGAGCTACGGTGAACTTAATATTAACTTTGTGGTTCCCAAAACTCTCATGGGTTGCACGTTTCAAGCCCACCACTGCATTATTATTTTTTAAGGAAACTTTTTTCCTTTATTTCTGACTGCAAGCTGCACAGCCAGTCTCTATTTCTTTTCAGTACGTTCATCTCCTTCTCCAGAAATATCTCTCTTCCCTTATAGCTGCACGGTATCTCTTCCCCCCGCCTGTCGACTCCTGTACAAGGGACCCTGTGCCTTGCCGGTGGCTTTTCTGCTCCCCGGTGCCGGGACAAGCTGCAGACATTCAGCGCTGGGAATTGCGTGGCATCCCTCTGTATATAGGCAGGAGAGGGGAAAAAAAAATAAGCCTTTTACATAAAGAAGCTGCTTTAGGTATTTTGGGTAATTTCTGGTTAAGCGCAAGGTTTCCGCCCTTTCCCATAACAAGTCGGGTTCATATTTTAGACCCTTACTGAAAGAATCTCAACTTAACCCAAGCTGGCTCTCTCTCCAGGTCCAGGGCTGCTTACCTGCCTGTCTTCCCCGCCGCCGCGCCCAAGAAAGTGGTTCCCGACGAGACTGGCACTAAGCGGAGGTAGATGTGCAATTGCCCATAAAAAGATAAGGGAGCCGCCGCGCCGTTTAGCCGCCCCTGCTGACAGTGGGGAGGTTGCGGGGTTACAACAACCAGACAAAAGCGATGTGCCCTCCCTCCCGTCAGGTCAGGCAGCCCGGGTCTGCGCTCCGGCGTGGGTCTGTGTTTACAGACACTTGCCTTTGTTTATAACACTTGGAAAGAAGAATCTCCCCCCCCCCGTTTTGCTTTTCCTTGCCTGATAAACTGGAGCATTTCGCACTCCCATCCCTGCCCAAACCTGGCATTCTTTTTTATGACGGCATACAAAAATCAGGAAAAAAAGGAAATAAAGGAGGGTGGGGGGCGAGGGATGGCTGCAGTGCGGCACGTCCTGCAGGTGTTGTATCCTCCCTTTGACCGAGTGGCCGGGCTGCAGCTCCCTAGGGGATGCGCGGCGGGGCCAGGGGGCAGCGGGCTCCGCCGCCCGGGGAATCGGCTCTCCGATCTTTCTCCATCAATAATTCCGCATTTTTAAAACCCTAATTTCTCAGAACCGGGAGCTGCTCTGGATCTGCCAAGGACGATCTCTTTTAATCGCTTGTTAATGAGCATGCTGCCATTTTCTCAGGAGCGGTCATTCCCGCAGCTAAATCACAAGAGCCCTAGACAGACCGGAGCCGACAAAAATGTAGGTTTTGACGTTAAAAGCTAAATGGGGAAGAGGAAGGTAAATTGATGGTAGATGGGGATGTCAGTGCCCTGGCCCCAGCTCTCCGCCAGCAGAGCCGAGGCCTGATAACAGCGAAGTGCTGCTCCCGCACCCTGCCCGCACCCGGGGGCATCGTCGCCCCGGCGGCCTGTCCGGTAATTCCTCGGAGCCAAAGCATTTTGGGGTGCTATTTCCGAGGTGAGAGTCACGTAGGAGAAGGGATGGCAGCCTTCCCTGCTCTGCAACATTTCTCTGTCCTGTGGGGGTGGGGGGAAGAACAAGAGAGGAGATCAGGGGGCCAGGGTGTGGAGCCGGGTCCTAAAGCCCTGTCCCCGCAGACGGGCTCATGGCCCAGATTTATTCGTGTTATAGCCGGCCTCCTCGTCTCATGGCTGGGGGAGTGCGACTCTGCTCTGACTCAAGAGAAAATATCAATTTAAAATTTTTGTTCCCCTTGAAGTAAAACAGCCAGAAAACTCCCCCGGCTGCCATCCCCCTCCCTGCCCTCCCCTGGACGCATGCTCTCTGCTCCCCGGTGTGCGGGCCCGGCTGCATGCCCAAAACACCGCAGCCGCCCCCCTGCAGGGAGTCGAGGACATCCCCGGTGGCGGCATGGCCCCTGGGGAAGCCCGGTTTAGGCAGATAGCAGCGTGGGGGTTTAGAGCTCGTTGGGGTTTTTGGGAGCAAAAAGCAGAGAAGGGTCGGCCCGGTGCCCCGCCGCCAGCAGCTAGC